TACTTCAATTCCCATCGATCTCTGTCAAGGCTACTCATTTTGTTTCTTGTATAAGAATTTTCACATTTCATCTTTATCCCCTTCAGTAAAACATGTTTCTTGCTGCGGTCTCACATTTGTCCAATGCTGATATTTTATAGTGTGAAGAGTAAATGCTTCCCTAGTGAGGCTGATTGGTTGGACTTGCCATATTTTCCATTTCAGTTCTGAAATTCTTAGTATGTCCTGGTATGGAATGTTTAACTAAACTAAGGAGCAAATTAGGGATGGTAATTTAATTTGAATTCGGATGGATTCTGACCCAATTTAAATGGGTGGTTTTTTTTATATAATTATGATATGAATATTGTTAAATTCAAACTTAATATCTGACATAAACCTAACCTGATATATATTATGTTGAATAATAAATAATAATTAGATAATGAATACACAGAGGGATACCTGTATGTATGTATGTGTGTGTATATATATATATATATATATAAACCTGAAACCGAAACCGTGTGTACCTAATAGCGTCGACACGGAGTCTTGCTTCACCCTTGTCTGCCATTATGGCGTGGTGCTATCTTCCTCTTTCGTCGAAGATGAAGTTGTAATTCTGAGTAGGGAAAGGCAGATGCTGATGAGCACACTGCTAAATTTGAAGTCATTGATCATCCATCATTCGATTTTTTTTTCTCAAGAATGCGAAACAATTCAAAGTTGTTACTTATTTAAAACAGCTCTGGTTAGTTAATTTGTTAGTTCTGAGAAAAATATGTTAAATTTCTTTCTTGTGATGAACACTACACGGTCCACATATGAACTGCATATAGCAAGAAGCATGTTGGTGACGTGACACGATTTTGCACGTATTTACATTTTTCACAATCCAATATCCTTGACATAGTTATAAAACCTAAATTGGTCGGATGGTCAACTGAGAGTTGGCTAACCAGTTTGATTTGAAGAAAAATTAGAAAAAAATCAGCTGATTTGATCAAAAATCCGAATTAACCAGTTAATCCAGTCAAACATAGCTCTCAATCCATTGGTTTTTTCTACAAAATATTTTTTGATTAAAATAATATTGTTTGGTTATCTTTAAAAAAAATTAGAGAACATCCTAATTAATTTAAATTTATTGGTTTTAAAACTATTCCTGTATATAATTGCCAAAGATCTCCTTTGCGAAGCTATTATTACGCCTACTATGCTGCGAAATTGTATGTCAAGAGAAGAAATGGTATCAATATTGTCGTATTGATTCTCCGTAGATTATATGGTATTCAGGTTCGGAAACATGTAAGAAATTTGCAGTATCTTGGGATATTAATTCTATGCTACAGAATGCTCGGAACCGAAAATTCTCTTTTATATCAGGAATCCCTTGGCTCTTCTCTGGATCTGCATTTTGCATATTTGCAATTCATTTAGTTGCATCTTCATGTTCTCAACCTCTTTTCTCATCATCTTTATCTCATTCCGGGATGTCATCCATTCATTCTCCACACATCTATTTACCCTGATGATGGTCTGTGTCCTTGTTCTTTGGTAATCGGATTCAACAGATGTCATTGATCTCGCCATCTTTACTTGTTCCAGAAGGATAAGCCTTGTTGTAATATTTACAGGCAGCCTGTCATTCCTCGTTGCGTGCTTAAGACCTTCTTGTGATATTTTATGGTAGTCCATGGCTGTGCACACACTTGTTCTTTCTTCTTCTGCGAGTCTAGGATGTGCCTGCATCATTGCCAAAGGAAACATGGAAACAAGGTGGCTTTGCTTAGTGAGATGAAACAGAATTAGTGAAGAGAGAAAACTATATTCAAAGTTTATTTAAGATGAACATCAACAAGCACCGAAAAGTTTCATCCTTACAGAACTGATAAAAAAGTAGCTTACATTAATTTGATATATCTAAACAGTCAAGGCTTAAGAGCAACCTCTTACATACCTTTAGGTATGTGTCTATGGCGGTATAGAGGTTGTCATGGCAGTATCGAGCATCGCTCGGCAATGCTTCTGCAAGTGACCGGAATTGTTCAACTGAAAGCTTGCCATCCCGTGAAACTTGCGCGAGATACCCATCTACCAACTTTCCGACAACAAGTAGTTTTGGAGTTGGATTCTTAAACATAGAAGAAGCATAAGCTTCCACCACCCTGGAAACAGTTCCCACATCATAAACAGTATCATCATTGCCATAATTTTTTACCAACAGATCAGAAACCCGACAGTTTTCCAATTTGAGAGCTATTCTCTTTTCTACCCCATTCAATAGTTCACTGCTAATTCTCATCATTATTCCCAACTTGAGAAGGTGAAGCAGAAAATTGGCAGAAACGGAATTTTCCTCCTCAGGAAGTATCCTAACCAAACTTTCTGTTGTAACTCTCAGTTGATGGTGGGTTAGATGTTTTGGCAGATTGTCTGGTCCAGAAATCCATTTTGCTGTCCAATAAGCTACGCACGATCCAACAAGTTCCGACCTCACTCCTTTCCTCTTGATGGATTTAATGACCTCAACAAAATGATCTATTCGAAGACATGAAACATCTTCAAACCACCAATTATCTGCTATGCCTTTATGTTTCAAGTTTTCTGCATCATTTGCCAGAAAATTCAAGCTAATTGCATCGTGTTCGCTGAGAGTAAATAATTTGGGGTCTATGCAGGCCTTCCAAGCAATAGCGTCAGAGCATCGTTGCAGGATTTGCAACTTCATCGCCCACAAAGAGACTGATTCACAGCTTTTCATAATCCGAAATATGTCTTTCCATGCTGAAAACAATACGAAACTTAGAAAAGCCTCTGTCTTGGAAATCAGATTTCCTTGTTCAAGATCATCACTCATTTCCAAGAAATGTGCAGCACAGTGTACTGGAGCAATGTTGGATGCTGTAAGATCAACCTTACATCCATAGCAGAACTTCACTACTAACTCAAAGATTTCAGATCCACCTGGAAAATTGTCTATTTGAATTTTGGGTAGGGTATCTTTTGCTCCATTGCTTCTTCTCTGGAATACTAATCTACTCAAGTATTCACTTTTTGAGACCATGGCAAGCTAAGCACACAGAAAATGACTGGAAGTTCAAATCTGAACAAAGATATGTCAAAAGGAAAGGAGAGAGAGATAATCCAATGCATCATTTCAATGCTTAGAGAAGGATAGAAAGAGCTTGCTAGAACTGCTACCTGGTTCCAATTCTTCTTTTCAATCATACCTATGTATGGATTCTGTAATATCTAAGAACTATAAGATTTTCTCTTGTCTAGCTGTAACATTAATCCATATGCTTGTTTCCATAATATTACAGAGAGGAATATGGTCCAACCTCAGGATAAAATCTCCAGCAGGTCGACATAATTAAACACAAATTTATCTACAATGATAATGCAGATGTTCATATAGATTTCATTTCCCACAAGACTAGTGTGATTCGATTTCATACTTCATAAAGAGTGGAAAGATTCACTAAGTCTAATTGATTAAAGCATGTTCAATGTACCTTATGCAACTGAAAGCTGGAATCTCCAACTTGTATGATCAAATCATTTGCAACTCTGGCGCGAACCGTCCTGCAGACAAAAAAACATCAGTTATAATTGCAGAAGAAGATTTTAGCAGATTAAAGGGGAATAATTGGATTTGCAGTGCCAATTTGCAGAGGAACATGTATATTTAATTGTTTGCACAGCAGGAAAAAGAGAGAGTACCCGTTCTGGTTTCTTTTTTCCAGAGCTTCAGCAACCATATTCTCATTAGCTGGAAGAATAACACACTTGTTATGCTTCCTCCCAGATACAGTAGTAGCTTTTCCGCTGCCAAGAATTCTGTTTCCCATGTTAGTGTTGCTTTGTCAAAAGGAAAGAAAGCTGTGCTAATCCAACTTATAGATCCACTTCAGGTTTCTGCAACTACATGAAATAATTTGTAGGAAGTAGTTAAGCCATTAATAGAGTTAGGTGCCTTTTGCTATCTCCTGTCACTACAAGCATAGGTGTGGCCAGTGGAAAGATAGAAACTTAAACCAGGATGATTGCTGTTCTAAATTCTCATCCACTAGGGTAGAGACATAAATTTCCCCATTCTCTATTAGAGGTGTCCCCATATACCATAATCGACTCCAATTCAAATAAGAATAAGAGCAACTCTAATAATTCAGTGGTTTTTTTTTCTCTACAATACTTGAATCAGTTGAATGCAATATAACCATGCTATGTTTTTTTTTTTAATCATTTTAATATGTTAATATTAAAAATTAAAAAAAAATAACTTTAATATATTTTAAAATAAAAAGTATTTTACAATACAATATTAAATATTCACTTAGTTATTCAATCCAATTTAAAATTAATTAAATAAAAAAACTAAAATCACTAAATTATTGGATCAATGAGTTGTCAAATTAAGCAAGATTAAAACTTTTATGAAAATAATATTTGTTTGTTTTTATGAAGAAAAAAAACTAGATTTGAGCTTTGGCATATATTATTGTGTAAGCAAATCACTTTCAAAAGTCACTCTCAAAAAAGAAAAAGGGCAAAATTCCGCAAAGACTTTTAGGCTTTGGCAAATATTCCCAATCAACCAACCGTAAATGGTCCACATCTTTCAAAATCCATCAAGCTACCTTACAATTTTTCATTTGGGAAATTAAAAATGAAGCATTTCCTCTACTACCAAAATTCAAAATAAACCACTCTGTTCCAACGGTCACCACTTCTTCTTCTTCTTGGTTCTTGCATCTCACACAAAATACAGTAAAATGCCAAGAGCTATTCACTACAAGCCTCTGCCTCTTCTTTCAAAATCATCCCTTCTCGTGAACCCATTCGGTGAAATAACCTTCACTGACCCGAAAAGTACAAATTTTGCATTTAAAGCTCACATTTTTTACTCTCCCCTTTTACTTCCACCTAGGACCCATGTCCAAAAACCAATCATTTGTGCAAGAAAGAATAAAAGAGGATCTGGGTATCAAAAATTAATCAAAATTGTGACCTTTATGGCATCTAATCTCAACACTTTGCCAGAGCCATTGGGTTTGGTTATTGAGGAATTTGCTGCTGCTGGTGGAGGTGGAGGGAATTTAGGATTTTGGAAGGGTTTCGGAGGCGGAAGATTTGATGGGTGGGGAAGAAAAGGGAAGATGAATTCAGGGTTTTTAGGCTTTTTGGTGGTTTCTGGATTGGGATTGATTTTGTTTTTGTTTGGAGGGGAGTTAAAGATCGATGTGGTTTCTGGGGTTTTGGTGTTGAGTTTATTAGGGGCTGTTTTGGTTAAAGGGTTTAAGAGAGGGATTAAAGATTGGATCTTGGGGCTTTGCTTTTTGGGTGTTCTGTTGGGTTTGGGATTGAAGAAAGGAGAGATGCAAAAATGGGTTGAGAGATGTAGGGTTCGTTCACCAGTTTTGGTGCTTATGAAGGAAAAGAGAAGACATGGTAGGAGAATTTGGTAACAGAAGCTACGAAGGAAAGATTCATTCTTTGATTTAGTTGGACTGATTTTTCATTTCACATTTGTATTGCATGTGTTCTAGGTACAAGAAGACCTTAATGTGGCTAGTCATGAAACTATAGGAAAGTTTTGCAGCTGTTTACAGTTTCTCCACTGAGATTTGATTGAGTTACAATACAGTATTGTTGCGAGTTTCGATTTCATTTTGTGGTAGTGCTGCTTGAATGTCTGCTGATATTTCCTCTTATGACATACAAGTTCAGTATGATTCTTAAGGGCCCCCTATATGTTGAGCTTGTGTGTGTGGAGTCATTTTAATGAAATTATAATATTGAAAGATCATCAATAAACTCTCTTTCAGTCTCTTTCCGCAACAAAGATTTGTTTCACGGAAGCCAGGCAATGCTCTTGGCATTGTGCATTCCCAGTTATGATCACGTTTCATGGTTAGTAGTTGTGACTATACGAAATGTGTCCATGGTTGCACAATGAATGTTTGGTTTAAGATAGCTATATGCTTTTAGAGTTTGTGGTTTGTGGATGGATTCAGGCTAGGATGGAAGTGTTTGATGGTATTTCAAAACTGTAATATGGTCACTTGGACTAGCTTGCCAGATTTGTTTAATGTTGACCAGGCCAGTGGGCTGGAACGGTGGTTAATTATACCATGTACGATTGGAATGGATAGCCTATAACTTCAGCTTGATGCTAGAATCTAGAAGTACAGACTAGGGCAAACAAAAATATGTTCTTTGTTATGCTTGTGCAATTGGGTATGAAGCTTATCCTTGAGTTGTGATTGCAATGTGATTCTCTCAGTAGCAACTAACAGAATTCAAATGACTTGGTCGCATGGCATCCCATGACAGCTGCTTATAATCAATCAATGCAGATTTCTGGGTTTCACACTGAAAGCTGTATATTATACTGTAGTAATAGCTTTTAGAGGCTCTGGTATTGCAGCAATGACAGCTTGTGTACTAAAAGACCCATTGTCAATCATATTGCTATGGAGAGAGTGGAAGTGGACGCCAACTGCAAAAGGTACTGGGCATATTTCAGGGTAGCAGACAAATGAGATGGCAGGGACCGTCCCTGTAGCTGGCTAGGCTATGAATGGATATGCTGAGAAAGCACTAGGAATTTTTAAGGAGGAGATGATAGTGACTCCCAAGGAAGTCGCTTCTTGGAGCTTCATACTAACACATTGCGCCACCATATCCCGGCTGATGAGAGTTGGTACAAATACCTTGGCTAGTATTGTCAGGACACGGGATAAATACATGAAAGAGGGAACAGGAGTTTGGTTGAACCTTGTAAATAAATGCTTGGGAATGAAAATCTGAAATGGAAACATAGATTCCATAACTTTCCATACCCTTTTAGGATACCACGCAAGAGCAATAAGAAAATTTAAGCTATGATTTCAATTTTCAATATCTTTGAAAAATGCGATGGACACCCAGGATTTGACAGAGACGCAATCAGATAGTCTAATGGAAGTTGGCCTGACAAAAACAGCCATCCATTTCATAAATGGCTTCTTTCATGTTTCAAGTAAAAAAGTTAACCACTTACTTTTAATCAACAATCTTTACCGGGGAAAAAAAAGGAATTCTTTCTAAAATTTTGTTCTGAAAATTGCCTTACAAAATATGGTGTGGTCAGGAAAAAGAAGAAAAAATTAAATGCTAACATGGAAAATATCGGTCATTCTTCATGTTCGATGCTATAAAGACCAGCAGCAAAGTTGCCTTGGCGTGACTACATTTCTTTTAACTGCTGGTTTAATTTCATAACTAAAATGTACACAAGAGACATTATCTCGCATCTCGACCAGGCTCTGTGAAAGAACATGCAGCAAATGGAACAAACGAAATTCTCTAATGTTTGCTAATTTTAGCATGTTCTCGACTCAATAAACCATTTTAAATAAATTACAAGGTTACAGCCGCGCGAATTTGTCAATCGTTATTGAAATTCACTTCTTCTCAAAAGGCATGTGGGGGTATGGTGTCTTCTCTCAACAAGCTAATCCACAAAAATTCGAGGCTTAAGGTTGTACTGGAACCCAAAAATCATAAGGTCCTTTCTTCTCGGTAAGTAAAATAGGCAAAGGATTTATCTGATCTGAAGAAACAAGAAATCCAAGATGCTATACCATCACCTTTTCTTTACAATCCCCTCGAGCATCCCATCAATGCCAAGATTACCTCTGAACTGTTGGTGATCAACAGGACCAGGTAGCTGAAAGGTGATGGAGAAGTGACCAGGAGGGCATAGATTCCGTGTTTGCATTCTGAAGATCTGAGAGTGCTTGCAAACCGTACTCTCGCCAGTCGTGGTCACTCCTTTTATAAACACTGTGCCATCAGGATCAATGTCACAACTGAAATCTCCTACCATTGCGAAAACAAAAGATCAGGTCAGTTAGCCACAGCAACATCAATAATATGAAAAGGCATATGAAAATATACCATCTAATTTTTTTAATATCCATGGCATGTGAAACTCAAGTTCAGATCAACCAAACTAATTAAATTTTAGATAGCCCTAAATCAAGATTTCAATTTATTAATTAGATTTACAGTTCTAACACTTCAAGCAGCTTGCACTAGTCTGTGCCACAGAGATAGAGTGAAATGAGTGCTATCTCTCCTAGTATTGTTTGTCAGGATGTAAAGCAATCATGAATAAAGTAACTAATATATGTACATATTTGAACAAACTTACTTTCATCCCTTGAAACTCCAGGAAGAGAGACTCGAAACAAGTAGGCATCATTGCTTTCGCCAATGTCCATTGCACCCACAATTGGTCCCACATTTCCCGTTGCAGCACTCCCAGCAAGCCCAATTCCGTTTCTGGCAGAATCCATGATATCATCCAACACCTTTTGAGTTGTCTGAGATGGGAAAAATACCATAGACGGCCCAGCTTCCGCAGGTTTAGCATCCACATCCCCTTGGGTTGGAGATTCTACCCTGTGCATTTGAGATTGAACTCCAGGGGTTGAAGATCCAACCCTATCACCAAATGGAGCAGGAGGACCAATATATGGCACACTGTTGAGAGGTGCCACTGCAAGGACCTGCTGATGAGGATTTATGGGCTTGGGTACACTATTCCCTCTTCGCATGTCAGAAGCCCTGGAGTCCATCAAAGTTTGGCATATTTAATTTTCAATACCACATGAAAATGTAGCAGTGCATCAGTGACTAGAATTGGTGTTGAATAAATTGTTGTAGAAAACTCAATAGTACAGAGTTATGTTCCTAATAAGATATAACTACAGCCAACGAAATATATGAACAATTCATTACAGAAAAGCAAAAGCTAAAAAAACATACAAATAAATTGTTTGGCCAATATTCGTACTGTCAACAAGAACTCAAACAATGATTCTATAAATTGTGACTGTACGCAACATCGAAAGCATATCATTTGTAAACCAATTCTTCTGCATTACACCCAAAAATTGTATTGACTCACTGCTACAAATAAATAAATTTGACAAAAATGTGTATTACTTTAATACAACATCACCAACATATATTATAGGGCTATGTTACAAAATTCCGCCATTCTAATAATCCATTTGATTTCAAACATTAAAAAGTAAAAAACAAAAACACAGAGTGTAGTTACTGCAAAGTTAATCAAGATAAAGATCAATCTAAATTTTTTTTGAGAGGTGACCAATAAAACTCAAAACTACTCATTTCAATGAAATGCTCATTTAAGCCATTGAAAACAGGATCATGATAACTAGAAGGACAAAATTTAAGACACAAGATAAAATTAAATATGGAGAAATCACTAAACCTCTGATGCCTAGTCTTCCTGATCCCTGGAATTTCACCAAATAGTTGTGTTCTATTGCTAAACCGTGCCACCTGAATTTATACTATTGAAAAAACCATTCTGAGGGAGTTTCAAAACCACCCTCATTTACCATTTCCTTTTTCAAAATTACCCTTCTATTTCCTACATGTTTTCGTATTTTAAACATGTAGTTCAAAGTTGTTATGGCATTTCTGAACTAAACATGTTGTACAAAGTAACATTGTTTCACGAGAGTTGTCAATTAATAGCACAGATTGAATTCCTTGATAAAGAAAATCAAAGAACAACAGAGATACAAACAGTAACCCTCTTTGTCATTTAGCATATAACAATTTCCCCCTAAGGAAAATAATCTTCATACTAAAGAGGTTAGCCCTTTGTTTTCATTAAAACCATAGGCACAAGCACAGCCTAATACTTCTTTAGTAAATGACACCCAGGTGAACGAATGCACGTGGTTCTCCACAACAAAATGGGCACTTTGTTTTAAAACAAAAGGCACCCACTGTTAATGAGTAATCCAAGTCTAGAAAATGAAAAGCTATGCTAGCCCCTTGTTTTCAACAAAATGTAAGTCACGCAATCCCCACCTAAGAAATGAAAAGCTATGTGAATATGTGAATGCCAATGTGCTTCTCTCTCTGAGGAAGCTGGCCGTAAGTTCAATAAAACTTAAAGCACATGCACATACATTGTTCACATGCAACCCATGTCCAGCAAATCAAAAGCTATGTGAACACTCGAGCATGCACACACAGAGGAACATGGAAAAATAAGAACTTAAATTTAGAGACAAGTTGGATTATTTTGTTCAAGAGAAATGTTTTAGGGAAATCCTTTTTGAGGAAAAAAGACTGCATCCACTAAATAGTAAGGCTGAATCAATATGACTGTTATGGAAAAGACCATATTTTTAAATGGAGATTTAGTTTCCATCATCAATTGGAAATCACTTCATTAGGAAACTTTATGAAATATTGCTGCATTGAATTGGGAGTGTGTGAGTTGGAACTGCCATCTTGTTAAAATGACAGCAACACATCTAGTTATAATACTATCAACATGTGGTGCCTTGAGTCTCCCAAATGCAACCATGAAATCTCAAGCCACTGATCCATTATTTCAACAACCATTCTACTTTCCATGATAACTGTCATACAAACTATTACACTGTATCTATCAAGCTCTAAGGTGATAGAATTATCTGAAAATAAGTCTAGAAAACTTGAATCATCACAATAATGTCCTAAACTTCTGGATTTATTAACTTGATGGA